AAAGTATATATATATATATAAACTGATTAGAGAATAAAATGTCATACTGAGTAGAGAAATTCCTTTTGAAGCAGCACAAAAGGAAGTCCCCAAAGAAAGCATATTTGTCAAGTGCATATACAAGGAAAAGAGTGGCTCCTTTCAAGAGTGAACGCTGGCTAGACAAGCAAAGAGATTTGTGAGAAATTGCCTGGTAAGAGAGGGAAATGTAGGCAAGTGGCCTCGAATATATGGGAACAAAAGTATCTTTGTTACTTGAAACTGAAGAGTGCTGGTAAAACTGAAATGATCTATAATTGCAGCTAATTGTCATCTCCACATCTTTTACGAAAGTTTTCTCACCACTCCAGCAACTGGAGAGTGTGTTTCTCAGGGGAAGAGGGCATTGAGAAAAGACCCCACCCCCTTACTAGTGAGCCATGTGACTGAAGTTAATGATCACTTGTCTTTGTGCAGTAAGCACTCTCCCCTCACATTGATGCACTCTCCCAGCCTTCCATTTATGCCAGATACTCACCTCCAGGTGGCCTTTAAACCAACAAAACCAAGGTCTTTTCTCCCTGAATCAGGTTCTCACACTTTATCAAGTACAACGCAGATGAGTGAGGCAGGAGTCAGAGCTACGCTAGAATTACCCCAAGAAGGAGGATTTTTATGATAAATTGACTCGGTGATCATATGAGACTGAAGAAAGGAGCAGTGGTACTGTGTGTGCCAGGGCAGCTGTGTGCCTGTCTGCCTGCCTGCCTGCCTGCAAAGGTTCACTCTTGGCAAGTATTTCCAGAGGAGGCAAGGGACCCACAGAAAGTCGTGAATGATGGCTCATCTGTCATTCCCAGCTGCCTCCCTGTCTAGGTCCACCTGCAGACTCACAGCAGCAGGCCTGCCTGCACCTTCGTTCACAGGGCACTGGCATCACCTGACTCAGCCAGTGGGATCTGCATAGGGCCTGGCAGGAAAAGCTTTGCTCCCTTTGCCCTGGGCATGGCAGACTAGCAAATGAGGAGTGGGAGGTTCCCAAGGCTCAGTCAGAGGAAGGATGTGAAATGAGGGTTGACAATGTCCCTAAAGGGCTGAAATTTTTTTAAAGAAATCATTGGATCACTGCTTTTAAGTGATATTGCTGCTGCTTTTACTATGCTGGCTTTGAGTAGAGTGCTGGAGGAATCACCCAGTCAAGCTCAAAGGTGGGTTTAGGAAGGACTATTTAAATCAGATTTGGCCCAGGCTGAACAGAGAGGGAAATATGGGGAAGGGAGTTTCCTTACTTACTGCATGATGACAATGATTTCTCTGCCAGTTTGGGAAAGGAAGGGATAGAGGTTGGGCGGGGGTGGGAGGAGGGATGCGGGATGGGAAGGGCTGAAAGCGGGTAACTATAACTAGTTACTGTGTTGGATAGCTTGTGTTTCTAGGAAGTGCTTCAG